CCTTGTGCCTGTCTAAGTAGGTGCTTTAGGCCACTGAGCTATTTGGCCAGCCCTTTTTTTTTTTAAAGACTAAAATATTCCCAAGATTTCTTTTTTTTTTTTTTTTTTTTTTTTTTTTTTTTTTTTTTTGTAAGGTTTCAAAAATTTATTGACTTAATAGTACTGATCACAGAAAAAAGAGATAAGATTCCTGATTACGTATATTCCACTGTCCGGGCAATGGTTATTTTTAAAACTTTATTCAGTATTGTCTTGACCATGATTAAAAGATGACATAGTCTTGTGACCTCTCAGAGGGTAAATGTGTCGCAGCTCATGTGCAACTCCTCACAGTCCTAGCTTGGTCCTCCTCCAGTGTCTCCTCTTGGAGTTGTACCTGATTTTATTACCTGTCTTCATTCGAATCCACTGAAGAATGGGGCGATTCTGCTTTGCTTCTTGGCCAGGAATCATTTGACTCTGAAAGTCTTGTGAGAAGGCATGGTGCGGTAGGAGGCGAGAGCACGCGCTCGATGGTGGACTGAAGCAGAAAAGCTTTGGTTTGCTTTTCATCAGTGGAAATACAATTTGGATATTTCATTCAGCCCTTCCTCCCTGTCAGTTACAAATATGAATCAAAATTGAACCTCCTGCTGCTAAAGCCCAGGCAGGGAACTCTGGGAGTCTGTGTCAAAACTCCAAGCTGGGTATGGCTAAAAGGTAGCTTTCCCAAATCTCCTGCTGGGCAACTGCACTTACTCCCTGGCTGTCTGGGCACAGTGGTGACTTTGGAGTGGGAGCAGGCAGGCTCAGGTTTGACTGTTGGGAGAGTCCTGTTGTCTCCACGTTCCCGGCCCTGCCCTGCTGTGGGTGCCCTGCTACTCTCGTGCTCGTGAGGGGAGTGGGCCTGGAGGAGTGTTCCGTGTTGGTCTGCCTCTTGTTGTAGCCCAGACGCCGCTGTGGGCACCAGGAGCCCCGAGGCGCATGTGAACACCCTTTCAGTGCAGACACAGAAGCTTCTAGTTCATGCTGCTGCTGTGAACCCAGCTTTCTGGCAGCGTTTCACAGCGCTGGTTCAGAGAGAGAAGATGGCCATAGGGCGCTGCCCGGGCCCCCGGCACAGCTGCATGATTGTGTTTAGCCTTGAGAGCTTCTGCCTGCAGGGTCGTCCGGTCTCTGTCATCAGGGAGCTCGGCCTGCCCACGGTTTTTGCCCTGTGGTCTTATAGTTCTAATGGACTGTATTAAAGCTGTCCAGAGGTGGCTTTACCAAGATTTCAGAAACTTTATAGTTGACATTATGAAAATACCTTCCTCAAGAGCAGTTTCTTCTGAAATGGTATTGTCAGCATCCACTGGGCACTCGCAGGCCTGCCTGGCTCTTGCTTCCTCCGGAGATCCCCAGGACAGCAGAGTGATCCGTTGCTCAGGATGCACTTTCGTGTCTCTGGCTGGCCTTGGGTGTCAGGGTGGGAACCATTTGTAGAGTCTCTCGTGCAGCCATATCCTGGTGACCCTGATCCCACCCTCTGACTTGCCTTTCCGTTGTCTTGTGACACTGTCGCTCTGCGGCACACCTGTGGTTTTCATTACTGAAGTGTCTGTCGTCTCAGTCCCAGAGTGTCATCTGACAAGCTCTTGGGTTCTCCGTTCACTTGTGCATCCCAGGGGCCTGGACACTCTGAGAGTGAGTCAGGATACCTGCTGCCAGATCATCCGCGGCACAGCCATTCTAGACCATTTCTCCCTAGGCCCATGCAGCCAGATGTCAGGCTGTGGACACGGAGCACGCTCAGTTGGTGAGGCCGTGTGTGTCCTGCTGGTCCAGAGGTAGATGACAGTGCGCTGCTGTGGAGGGCCTGGCAGGGAGCCTGAGGGGAGACTGGGCAAGATGCTGCTGTCTCATAAGCACCTTTAGACAGCGTTTCTTGTGGTGGCAGCAAGAATTGAGACTGAGGCTCAGATTAATAGCTGAGCTGCAGAGAAAGCAGGTTCATCTGTCCAGAGCCCCAGGGTGATCACGTCTCAGGTGGAAGTTGATGGACTAGGACCTGATCCACAGCCACAGATTCGTCCAGTTGTGTGAACAGATCTGATTTCTGGGTGTGTCTAATGTGTATGTGTGTGTGTATGCGCGTGTGCCAGAGGGCAGAGGTTCAGGGTAGCTGTTAATGCATGGTGACATCTTTGTGTGCACATGCAGGAGAAATACTGTTACATTTGCCCTGACATTGTCAAGGAGTTTGCTAAATATGATGTGGATCCTCGGAAGTGGATCAAACAGTACACAGGCATCAACGCGATCAACCAGAAGAAGTTCATTATAGATGTTGGGTACGAACGGTTCCTGGGACCTGAAATATTCTTTCACCCAGAGGTGAGGTGTTTCTCTGGTGTGTGGGCGTGCAGCGTGCGTGGAGCAGTGCTGCCACCCAGTGTGCACACACAGCCAGCATCTCATTCATGTGATTTTCCCTGGATCCTGCTCATTTTTCGTGTTTCATTCCCAAGTCATGTGTTTGTGTGCTTCCTCCTGCGTCCATGCAGCTTATGCATGTGCATTTTCCTTTTCGCCAAACCCATACATTTCCTGTCCGAGGAGACTCGTGGCTGTCATTCTGTGCGCACGTGGTTCATTGTCACATTGTAGCTTCTCATGTACTTCATTCCAATGGGATGGGTTTCAAGTAATAGTTAATAGTTATAGTTAATTGGCTATATGTTAAAGCCACTCTTTAAAGAGTTTTTGCTGTGTGCTATTTAGGAAAATGTGTAATGTTCCTTTTGTGTTTGTATACAATCTAGTTTGCCAATCCAGACTTTATGGAATCCATTTCGGACGTGGTTGATGACGTGATCCAGAGCTGTCCCATTGATGTCCGGCGCCCGCTGTACAAGGTAGAGGCTGTGTGAGTGAGGTGTTCGGACTGTGGTCTTGTGAGGGGCCTCCAGTTCTTTGCACAGGGCATTTCTGTCTGTCTAGACACGCCCACTACTTGGAGCAGAGATGGCTTACGTGTTGGAACTCTAACTCCCTTGAGTGGGAGAATTGAATTTGAGCCCTGTAATGTCTGGTCCTTCTGCTTGGCCAGTTGCGTCTGAAGCTGGGTAATTCCAGCCACACATACTGCAGGTAGAAAGCGACTGCTGATCCCTGCTTTCTGGAAGGTGCACGGTCTTGTTTCAGGTGCATTTGTGGTCAGTGCTGGCTGGTGAATGATAGATAGCACAGCCTGAAGGGACCCACCACATCGAATTTGCTCATGTCGTATTTTTAAAACAGTTGCTTATCTAGAATCTGAAACTTGGAGTGAGAAAAATCAAGTCCAGATAATTGCTGGATGAGAGTGAGTCTTACTGACACACAGATATGGCAGGCAGGACGTGGAGACTCTGTCTGCAGTCATCCTTGCCTGAGCGCACCGTGCTTCATTTTTCAACCTGTGGCTTCTGACCATATTCGGACTCAAGGTGGAATTTTACAGAGCAGCGACCTGGGCTCAGAAAAGAAGCGTCCATAAATTTTGTTTCATTTTCGTTGTGAAATACAATTTCACCTTTAAGAAGGGCGAGTGTCTTAGTTGCTGTTTTCATTGCTGAGGCACAGTACCCAACACCTGAAGCTCAAGGAGGCAAGCTTTCCGTGGCTCACAGTTTGAGGAGGTTTCAGCTCCTAGTCGGCGCTCCCCAGGCAGGGTGGCAGGCAGAGCGCGTCACAGAGGGGAGACAGTCCGTGGTGAGGCAGCAAGCAGTGGCCATAGGAGCCTCTTCCTGTGCATTACGTTTGTCTTGAGAACTTTTTCCTCATTGCTGGGACAAAACACCCAACACCCAAAGTTAAAAAGGGAAAGGTTTATTTAGCTCACAGTTTGTGGAGGTTTCATTCTATACTCGGCTGGCTCCAAGGTAGGGTGGCGTGTGGCGGAGGGCAACAGTTCATGGTGGCGGAAAACGGCAAAGAGCAAAGGATGGAGCAGCAGCTGTGGCTCACACCCAAAATCCTGTCACTGGATCATGAATTAATCACAAACTCTAGAAGCCACCCCATGACTGCATGAGGCTTTGGGGGGACAACTAGGTGCAATAACATTTTGTCCTGGCTCCTCGCCCCTCAGGTGGCTCCCACGCCTGTGGGGCTCCCCCCTTCTGCACCCAGAATGATCCACACCCGTGGGCTGGCTCATCAGTCACACACCGTTGATCCCAATGCCATACACTTTAGATGCGTCTAAGAGTCCAGCCTGTGACCCCGTGAGGCTTTGGGGGCATCTAGACCCAAGCCGTAGCAATGATGAAAGTCAGCGTAAACTCAGGTGACAAGAGCTGCGCTATACAAGATTAAGTGAAAGAGCGACTTATAAAATTTACATTCAATATTTTATATAAAATGAAATTTACATTTTTTTGTATTATCCTACGTCTTTTGCGAGAAGGATGATACATAGCTTTTTTTGTATTTGAGATTACTTAACATTTCATAGTTAATATTTTTATATTGGGAATTTTTTCCAATATAGACAGATATTTATGTGAAGACATAATTAATTGTCTATATAATTAATATAGACAATTAATCTAACACTTTCCTCCTGTGATTAAAGGTATGAAGAAAGGGACTAAATGCAAGTACAGAGGTGTTTTTTGGTCCCATTCCGCAGTCTCACTTAATTTTCGCTGTGTTGTTTTGGCAGTGAAAGCAGGAGCCCCGTATACACCTGTTAAAGATTTTATCATAAAAGGAATGCTATTCTACAATGGGGGAAACCTCATTTGACAGTGCAGTTCTCTTGTCCTTGTGGGCTGTGCAGAGCATGAAAAAAAGATTAAAACAAGAGGGAAAAATGGAAGCAAAGCTTTGTAAAAATAGGGAATGGAAAAGGAAGAAGAGGAAAAACAAGAACTCAGAGTATATCCTGTACAGAGAAGGCAGAGTGGGAGGATTGCAGGCATCAGGCACGCTGAAGCAGCCCAGTCTTAGGGCTGTGTGGGTCCCTCCTCAGTCTTAGTTGTGGGGCAAGTCCTTAGCCTCGCTGCTGTAACGAGGAAGCTGAGCAAGCCTGCACGAGCGCATTGCTGTCTCCGCTTTCTCTGTGTTCCTTTCTGTCTCATGCTTTTACTGTGATGTCCTTAAATGTTCTAACCCTGAACTCGAGAAGTGAGATGAGGTATGTGAGAAAAACAGGAGAAAACCATGTGCCCGCGTGTGAGCACCCGCTTACCTACAGTTCGTTGTCAGAGGTGGGATGGTGGCCTGTTGGATGAGGCCACACTGTGGGTCAGGTTTGATGGCCAGCCTAGGAAAGCTCATTGGAGAGAGGAGGGATTAATAATGGGAGGGAGTTGGGCTTATGAAGAGATGAATTTTGGATCTAGGAGTGGGGCTGTCTTTTGTGTGGGCTGTTTCTGTGAGGTTACTTTGACCTGATTGTCTCCTCCCTCACCGCCCTGGAGAGCTTCCCTTCCCTTCCCTTCATCTTGCCTGTCCTGTAGCTGCCTCAACAGCTGCACGTAGACAATCCTGGTTTCCTGGTCTGTCCTTATCTCTGATATGCTTTTCCCAGTCACCTGAGCCAGAGTGCTCGGGTACATCAGAGAAGGTGCATAGCAGCCAGATCCTGTGCTAGCCGTGGAGGGCTACTTAGTTAAATATGTCTCTTCAGAGCACTTCCTATTTGGATGTGCAGGAAAGAGAGAGAAGAAGGAATGCTGGCCACAAACTGTCCTGATGCTTATTATCCTTATGCATCAGGAGCTGTGCAGGCCAGCAGCTACTGGATCACTTGGCTGGCCTGGGGAGAGCAAGATCCGCCATAGCCAGGGTCAGGCGTGATGGTTGGAGAGCTGGGCCTGGGGGCATGTGCGCAGTGCTGGCGTCCCAAAGCCCTGAGGTGTTACTGTCAGGATTGCTCCTGTGCAGGGTGCCCCCTTCCAACTCCTCCTGAGTGTGGACCTGAGCCCACTGTGAAACACACCCGTCCACCGCAGCTTCAGTTGGTAATGTGTGGATCGCTGAAGTGTGGGTTTCTAAAGACCTGATTCTGTATATTTTTTGAATGTGTTTTTAGTACAGGATCTACAGGGTCTCACTGCACAGGTTGGACTCATAGTGGTCCTTCTCTGTTTTTAGCTTCCCAAGTGCTGGGATTACAGGTGCGTGCCACCGCGCCTGGCCTCAGTGGCTGGCTCAGCATGCCCTGGGGGTGAGACTGGCACAGCACTCCAGGGATTGAACTCTGGTTGGTCGCTGTGGCTGCCTAGACAGGTGCTTTAGTCTGCTGAGCAGTCTGGCTGGCCCTTATAAACCTGATTTGGGAACACACTGTTTTGGTTTGATGATGTCCCCTGAATACCTCTGTGGCCCTCACGTGGCTTTCCAGGACAGCCCTGCCATCCTGGTCTTTGGGTAGCAGAGTGCTCTCTAGCTTCAGTGTTGCTTCTTTCCTCTTGGCTGTGGCCCAAGATCTACCCAGCTGGCAAAGTATCCTGGGATCAGAGAAGACCTAGAGTGCATGGTCCAGGCCCAGAAGGACTCAGATTTTGAAAGGGTAAATAATACCTCTTTTGGTGCCACTATCTGGCAAGGGACGATGTCCTTTCCCAGGAACAAACATGTTGGAGTGAAACAGTGAGAATTATTATTTCTACATCAGACTGAGCATTGGAAAAAACAGAGTTTATTAATAAAGCCATCCATCGGATCCCTCCCAGGTTACAGATCTTAAGTCTCTGGCCAGTGTCAGAATGCACCTCCCTGATCCTTTTTTTTTTTTCCCCCCCCATAATTTTATTGAGAAAAAATAGCAATGAGACAGTTTCAAACCAAACTGGTAAGACAGTTTCAATAATTAACACATTGCATACATTCTTCCTAGTGGTTAATTGCTATACAAGATGCGCACATGATATCCTATTTACAAACACCATTAG